AAACAAAACAAAACAAAAAGATGCACAATGGAAGTTTGACACAACTTGACATTCCCTTATGATAAGTCTCTGAAAAAATTAGGTATAGATCAAGTACACCTCAGTCAATAAATGCAACATATAACCAAAAAACGGACAGCTAATAACATACTAAGGGATATGTCGCAAGCTTTTACTTTAACAGCTAGTACAGGACAAGGATACCCACTCTACTCAGTCTTACCAAAAATAGTACTAATCCAAGACAAAGGAATTACAGAATACAATCAAAGGCATCCAGATTGGACAAAAGAAGTTAATTATTCCTGTATGATTATCTTTTATCTCTATACACAATCCGAAGTATAGAAAAGGCTAAGACTGGCCTGGCTTGGTGGCTCACGCATGTAATCCCAATACTTTGGGAGGCCGAGGTGGGCAGATCACCTCAGGTCAGGAGATTGAGACCAGCCTGGCCAACATGGTGAAACCCCACCTCTATAAAAAATAGAAAAAAAAATTAGCAGGGCCTGGTGGCACAATACCTGTAATCCCAGCTACTCAGGAGGCCGAGGCAGGAGAACTGCTTGAACCCAGGAGGTAGAAGTTGCAGTGAGCCAAGATTGTGCCACTGCACTCCAGCCTGGGTGACAAGAGGAAGACTCTGTCTCAAAACAAAAACAAAAGCAAACAAACAAAAAGCCTAAGACTTTACTAAAACCTATTAAAAATAAACAAATGTATTAAACTTTCAAAATACAAAAGCAACATCAAAGTCAGTTCTATACATTAACAATTATCTCAAAATGAAAACTAAAGAACAATTCCATGTACAATAACTATAGTAATAAATTCAATAGAGCAGAGAGAATACATTTGCTTTCAGCATTTTTGAGGCTTTTAGTTTTATACTAGTCATCTTGTTAAAATAATTTTTTCCAATATTGCTCTTTTCTTCTGAAAATAAGTACAAACTTATACTCACACAAACTCACTCCATAATTTCCTTACACCTAAGGTTTATCTTTAGACTAATGCATAGTATATTTAACCCTCTGATATCAATATTAGAAGTCTATATGTGTTTGCAGGCAGACAGGACACATGTTCAAATATATATATTCATGTATAAAATTTAAAAATATCTATTCAGGACCCAGAAATGTATGTATTTCATTTATACTTGCATATCATTTCTATTATGACTATAAAATAACCTGGTAGTCAATAACAATTTAATTGTATATATATATTTTTTTGAGACAGAGTCTCGCACTGTCGCCTGGGCTGGAGCACGGTGGCATGATCTTGGCTCACTGCAACCTCCGCCTTGCAGGTTCAAGTGATTCTCCTGCCTCAGCCTCCTAAGTAGCTGGGATTACAGGTGCCTGCCACCACGCCTGGCTAATTGTTTGTATTTTTAGTAGAGACAGGCTTCCACTATGTTGGCCAGGCTGGTCTCAAACTCCTGACCTGGTGATCCGCCCACCTCGGCTTCCCAAAGTTCTGTGATTACAGGTGTGAGCCACTGTGCTTGGCCATAATGGTACATTTTAATTTAGTTTATTTATTTTTTTCAGACAGTCTCCACTGCTTTTCCCGCTGTACTGCAAGTGGCGCTCTCCGCTTCACTGCAACTTCCCGCGCCCGGGTTGTTCTTATGCAGCCTCCTGAGTAGCGGGACTACAGGCGCCCGCCACCGCGCCCGGCTAATTTTTTGTATTTTTAGTAGAGACGGGTTTCACTGTGGTCTCGTCTCCTGACCTTGTGATCCCCCCCCTCCCTCCCAGTGCTGGGATTACGGCTGAGCCCGGGCCCGGCCAATTGTACATTTTAAAATAAGTAAAAGTGTAAAGTTTGATTGTCTGTAATACAAAGGATAAATGCTAGAGGTGATGGATACATTTATCATGTGATTATGTATTGTATTTATGTATCAAAATATGCCATATATGGCATAAGTATATATACTCATATACCCACAAAAATTAAGAACAATAAATTTAATTGATTAAAATAAGGATAAATATTTATCCAACAGGAATAATATTCTTTAACTTATCTATACTTTAAAGCCACTGGCAAGAGATTAACATGTTAAAAATGTTGAAACCATTAACTTCACACATAATGTAAAATTTTTTAAATGTGCTGCATTTTAATATATAAAAGTACAATTAGAACAATAATATACTACTAGTTTTCTTACAATGCAAAAGAATATTATTCTTAACACCTACCTCATACATCACTCAAGAGTATAAGTTAACCACAGAGAACCTCTCCACTTTTTCATCATGCATCTTACATTCTAATGTCCTTACTTGTCCACAGAAAAGATCATAAATAATGCCCACTAATGGAAAAGAATCTCTCCTACCTTTGATGCAGCAACAACTGATCACATGCTTTCACAAGTGAATAAGAATGAACAGCAGAAAATAGAGTGTTGAATTACATCATTTGCTTTCAAAGTCTAATTTTTTCAAGAAATAAAGTATACTTTGAAAGTAGTTATTACTCTGCAAAAAACTTTTACTCCTCTTAAAGTTATATACAAATACTTTTTCTACCAACTTTAGTTTTAGATTATTTTCTATACTCAGAACTCTGACTTAGTATATCCAAAGTGTCAGTTCCTCGTATATTTCTATTATAGATTCTCTGATATTTACATAGCCCTAATTTGGATTAAATATTTTTTTATTTTTACTGCATCTTCAAAAATATACTTCAGCATAAACTGGTGTTTTCCAAGATGTCGTGTTTGAAAAGTGTTTTTCCAAATTTATTACATTTGCAAGCACTTTTCCAATATAAATGCCTTGATGTTGAACAAAGCTTGAGCAACTGCTTCAGAGCTTTCCTCTAGTACAAAATGTGTACAATAAAATCTGATTCAAGTAAAGGTACTACAACCCTCTTTGTTTGTAATGTCCATCTTCAATATACTCTTCTTCACTTTAAAGGCTTATATTTTTCTGAAAGATCTTTTGACACTAATTGCCCTTATCTTGCTTTTATTAAGTATGAACTCTCTGGTGTTAAGATATAAGCAGACATTAATGTCTTTTTTGCAGCCTATATTTGTATAATTTTTCTCAAATATAAATGGTTTCTGTGCAATAAGGTGGTTAAAAGTTTTGCCACATTGTTCTCACTTGTAGGAATTTTTCCCAGTATGAATTATTTTACATCTAATCAAGTAAGGCAGGGAGTGATGGCTCGTGCCTGTAATCTCAACACTTTGGGAGGCCGGAGGTGGGTGGATCACCTGAGGTAAGGAGTTCAAGACCAGCCTGGGTAAGATGGTGAAACCCCATCTCTACTAAAAGTACGGCATGGTGGCAGATGCCTGTAATCCCAGCTACTTGGGAGGCTGAGGTAGGAGAATTGCTTGAACCCGGGAGGCAGAGGTTGCAGTGAGCCAACATCACGCCACTGCACACCAGCCTGGGGGACAAGAGTGAGACTTCATCTCAAAAAAAAAAGAAGAAAAAAATCAAGTATGACAACCATTTAAAGACATTGTCACATTCTTCACATTTCTAGGATTTCTCACCAATATGATTTTCTTTATGGTTAGAAAAGTTTGAGGTGTTGTCAAAAGCATTATTGCATCGTTCTGGTTTGTGGAGTTTCTCTCCAGTATGAATTATCTTATGTATGTTAAGATCTGAGGACTAGTGGCTAGGCGTGGTGGCTCATGCCTGTAATCCCAGCACTTTGGGAGGGTGCAGCGAGCAGAACATAAGGTTAGCAGTTCAAGACCAGCCTGATCAACATGGAGAAACCCTATCTCCACTAAACATAAAAAATTAGACAGGTATGGTGGTACATGCCTGTAATCCCAGCTACTCGGGAGGCTGAGGCAGGAGAATCACTTACATCTGGGAGACAGAGGTTGCAGTGAGCTGAGATCGCACCATTGTATTGCAGCCTCGGCAATGAGAGTTAAACTCCATCTCAACTAATAATAATAATAATAATAACAGGACTAGTTAAAGCTTTTGCCATATTTTTTCACACTCATAAGGTTAATCTCTAGTATGATTTTATTATGTTTAGTAAGAATTGAGGACTGGCTAAAGGCTTTGTCACATTCTTCACATTTGTAGGGTTTCTCTTCTGTATGAATTATTTTGTTCAAAAAGGTTTGAGGACTGGTTAAAAGCTTTGCCACATTCTTCACAGTTGTAAGGTTTCTCTCCAGTATGAATTATGTTATGTTTAGTGGGACCTGAGGACTGGATAAAGGCTTTACCACATCCTTCACATTTCTAAGATTTTTCTCCAGTATGAGAGAGAGAGAGAGGGAGAGAGAGAGAGAGGAGAGAGAAGGAGAGAGAGAGAGGAGAGAGAGGGAAGAGAGGGAGAGAGGAGAGAGAGAGAGAGAGAGAGAGGGAGAGAGAGAGAGAGAGAGAGAGAGAGAGAGAGAGAGAGAGAGAGAGAGAGCCCATGCCGTTATTTCTTTGTAGCAGAGGTTTTTAGTACTTTCACTAATTTTGCTACTGCTATCTAGAAGGCAGAGCCAGGTGTACATGATGGAACATGAAAGCAGACTAGGAGAGTGACCACTGAGGCACAGCATCACAGGGAGATGGTTAGGCCTCTGGATAACTGTGGGCAGGCCCAGTGGAGTAGTCTTCTCTAAACTCCCCTGGGAAAGGGGGACTCCCTTTCACTGTCTGCTAAGTAGCGGGTGCTTTTCCTTGGCACTGACACTACCACTAGACCATGGTCTGCTTGGTGAAGGGCATCTTCCCAGACACTGGTGTTACTGCTAGACCAAGGCGCCCTCTAGTGGCCCTGTCTGGGCATGACCGAGGACTCACACTTGTCTTCTGGTAACTTCTCGCTATGTTCCCTCAACTCCTATATCCGTATGGCCTGGTTTTTCCTAGGTTTATGATTATAGAGCAAGGATTATTATAATATTGGAATAAAGAGTAATTGCTACAAACTAATGATTAATGATATTCACATATAATCATATCTATTGTCTACATCTAGCATAACTATTCTTATTTTATATATTTTATTATACTGGAACAATTCGTGCCCTCAGTCTCTTGCCTGAGCACCTGGGTGGGTTGCTGCCCACAAGTAAGGGTAGAGGACCAGTTAAAGCCTTTGCCACATTCTTCACATTTGTAGAATTTCTCTTCCATATGAATTCTCCTGTGTAGTGGTATGAGTACCGGTGATAAGGTTTGCCACATTTTTCACATTTGTAATGTTATTCTCCAATATGACTTATCTTATGTATAGTAAGGGTTGAAGATTGGTTAAAAGCTTTGCCACATTCTTCACATTTGTAGGGTGTCTCTCCAGTATGAATTCTCTTATGTTTAGTAAGGTTTGAGGACCAGTTATAAGCTTTGCCACATTCTTCACATTTGTACGGTTTCTCTCCAGTATGAACTCTCTTATGTCTAGTAAGAGTTGAGGACTGGTTAAAAGCTTTTCCACATTCTTCACATTTGTAGGGTTTTTCTCCAGTATGAATTATCTTATGATTAGTAAGGTTTGAGGACTTTTTAAAAGCTTTGCCACATTCTTCACATTTGTAGGGTTTCTCTCCAGTATTAATTATCTTATGTCTAGTAACTTGTGAGGAACAGTTAAAAGCTTTGCCACATTCTTCATGTTTGTAGGGTCTCTCTCCAGTATGAATCATCTTATGTGTAGCAAGGTATGAGAACTGGTAGAAAGCTTTGCCACATTCTAAACATTTGTAGGGTTTCTCTCCATTATGAATTCTCTTATGTTTAGTAAGGGTTGAGAATACATTAAAGGCTTTGCCACATTCTTCACACTTGTAGGGTCTCTCTCCAGTATGAATTATCTTATGTTTAGTAAGAGTTGAGAATACACTGAAGGCTTTGCCACATTCTTCACATTTGTAGGGTTTCTCACCAGTATGAATTCTCCTATGTATAGTAAGGCGTGAGTACCAGTTAAAAGCTTTGCCACATTCCTCACATTTGTAGCGTTTCTCTACAGTATGAATCATCTTATGTGTAGTAAGGTAAGATAATCGGTAGAAAGCTTTGCCACATTCTTCACATTTGTAGGGTTTCTCTCCAGTGTGAATTCTCTTATGTGTAGTAAGGTATATGAATCGGTAGAAAGCTTTGCCACATTCTTCACATTTGTAGGGTTTCTCCCCAGTATGAATCATCTTATGTGCAGTAAGGTAGGAGTAACAGTTAAAAGCTTTGCCACATTCCTCACATTTGTAGGGTTTCTCTCCAGTATGAATTATCTTATGTGTAGTAAGGTATGAGAATCGGAAGAAAGCTTTGCCACATTCTTCACATTTGTAGGGTTTCTCTCCAGAATGAATTTTCATATGAGTAGTAAGGTTTGAGGACTGTTTAAAAGCTTTGCCACATTCTTCACATTTGTAGGGTTTCTCTTCAGTATGAATTATCTTATGTCTGGTAAGGGTTGCAAATACATTAAAGGCTTTGCCACATTCTTCACATTTGTAGGGTTTCTCTCCAGTATGAATTATCTTATGTCTGGTAAGGTGTGAGTACCAATTAAAAGCTTTGCCACATTCCTCACATTTGTAGGGTTTCTCTCCAGTATGAATCATCTTATGTTTAGTAAGGTATGAGAATTGGCAGAAAGCTTTGTCACATCCTTCACATTTGTAGGGTTTCTCTCTAGCATGAATTATCTTATGTTTAGTAAGGTGTGAGGACTGTTTAAAATCTTTGCCACATTTTTCACATTTGCAGTGTTTCTCTCCAGTATGAATTACCTTATGTCTAGTAAGAGTTGAGGACTGGTTAAAAACTTTTCCACATTCTTCATGTTTGTAGGATTTGTCTCCAGTATGAACTCTCCTGTGTCTAGTAAGGGTCGAGAACCATTTAAAAGCTTTGCCACATTCTTCACATTGGTAAGAATTCTCTCTAACATGAATTCTTTTATGTTGACTTAAGTGTAAAAGCAGGCAAAATGATTTGCCACATTTTTTACATTTGAAAGGTTTCTTTCCAGTATGTCTTGTCTTATGTGTATTTGAATTTAAAAATTTATGAAAGACTTTCCCATATTTATCACATTGAAATATTTTGCTCTGGGTAGTTGTTAAACACAGGTTTAGTTCATTATAACCTTCTTTGTGCACATTACACTCATCCATACTTTTATAGCCTTTTCTTAACTGTAAATCCTTATGTCCGTATTTTCCATATTCTCTCAGTATCACTTTTTGGAAAGAATCTTTTATGCCTGGCTGTGGCCAAAGGTCCTGGGCAAAATGAGAACATTTAACTGAAAGAAATAAAAATATCAAATTACTCCACTTACTAGACTCAGATAAATATAGATTACAAATCTAACCTATAACATTATACAAACTACATATACAAGATGATATAGCAAAATACGAAAGGCCCTAATTTTTATAGACATATATATGTAACAAAAACATACTAACCAAAATACATCTGAGAAAAATTATAAATGAGCTAAATGTTTAAAGTACCCCAAGTGAGCACAATGCAAAAAGTTACATACAATAATAAAAAAAAAAAGTTTGTTACATTTACCCAACACAGCTGTTTCTGCTCCTCAACATAACAATGCTTTTAGAATTAAATTGCCCTGGGTGTGGTGGCTCACACCTGTAATCCCAGCAGTTTGGGAGGTTGAAGCATGTGGATCATGAGGTCCGGAGATTGAGACCATCCTGGCAAACACTGTGAAACCCCATCTCTACTACAGATACGGAAATTAGCTGGGCATGGTGGTGTGTGCCCATAGTCCCAGATACTCAGAAGGCTGAGGCAGGAGAATTGTTTGAACCCAGGAGACAGATGTTGCAGTCAGTCGAAATTGCGCCATTGCACTCCAGCCTGGGTGACAGTGTGAGATTCCATCTCAAAAAAACAAACAAAACAAAAAGAAGTAAATTGCCAGCCAGGCATAGTGGCTCAACCTGTAATCCCAGCTACTGAGGAGGCTGAGGTAGGAGAATTGCTTGAACCCAGGATATAGAGGTAGCAGTGAGCGAATCACACATGCACTAGCTGGACAAGAGTGAGACATACTCAAAAAAAAAAAAAAAAAAAAAAAAAAAAAAAAAAAAAAAAAAAAAAAAAAAAACACCCACGGCATGGAGAGAGGGAGGGAGGAGCTCCGGAGGCATAGGGTGCCAGAATGTGAGTGCCTCCAGGCACTGTCAGGCAGAGGATGCACCCCCCCCCCCCCGCACCTCAAAAAAAAAAAAAAAAAAAAGCAGTGCAGTGATAGACTGAGGGCAGGGATGGAGGGAGACCATGTAAGTAAACTACAAAAACAAAAAGGGGGGAGGGCGGAGGAGGGAGGAGATGGCATGAACTCGGGAGGCAGAGCTTGCAGTGAGCTGAGATGGTGCCACAGCACTGCAGCCTGGGAGACAGAGCGAGATTCTGTCTCAAAAAAAAAAAAAAAAGATAAGCCTGAGCATCTAGGTGTAAAAGTCGGTGTCCGAACCAGGGGCTCTAATGGCCTTTCTTATACTCTAGAATATACAAAGATAAAAGGAGATTCTGATGAAGTTATTCAAGATGGAATCAGAGTATTCATCAAAAAGAAAGCAAAGCTAACACTTTTAGGAACAGAAATGGACTATGTTGAAGACAAATTATCCATTGAGTTTGTGTTCAATAACCCAAACATCAAAGGGACTTGTGGCTATATAGAAAGCTTTAATATTTGAAATCTCAGGACTCTTCTGGCCGTAGGTTCCAGGAAAGCTCGGGGAAGCCTTGGGGCTCACTGCAGAAATCATGTGACTATCATGTGCTTAATGTGCCGCTGCCTTGTAAGGAAAATAAAGTGATGTATCTTGAAAATGAAGCTAGTGTGTTAGATCCCAGAAGAAAGTTTGTATTCTCAAGCCTGTAATCCCAGCACTTTGGGAGGCTGAGACGGGTGGATCACGAGGTCAGGAGATCGAGACCATCCTGGCTAACACGGTGAAACCCCGTCTCTACTAAGAAATACAAAAAACTAGCCGGGCGAGGTGGCGGGCGCCTGTAGTCCCAGCTACTCTGGAGGCCTAGGCCGGAGAATGGCGTGAACCCGGGAGGCGGAGCTTGCAGTGAGCTGAGATCCGGCCACTGCACTCCAGCCTGGGCGACAGAGCGAGACTCCGTCTCAAAAAAAAAAAAAAAAAAAAAAAAGGAAGTTTGTATTCTCATTAGGGGACAGAAAATGAGAAGCCATCACTCTCTTTGGATCATTTAGGTCTCTTGCATCCTTTGTTTTAGAACCAGTTTCATTAAAGTTGCCTTCCTGGGCACCTGTTTATCCATTTCCTGAACAGTGTGCACTCCTTAACTCTCTACTGAATGGCTTGAATATGCATCCCCCTCAGCATTTCTCCCAACCAGATCGGTGACTCCTAAACTCTGAGACAGGACGTCCTGACTGCTGGTAGTAGTAACATGAGGGTGCATTGTCTTTCCACCCAAACTTAATAAAGCCTTTTTATATATTTTTATGAAAAATTTCATTGTCAGATGCCTCACTGCATACCCTTTAATAGTACCAGGCAAAGATTTTCTTCAACTATAGTACAGATTAGTTCTCAGTGATGGTATTAAAAGGTGAGAAAGACATCATCCATCTGTTTTTCAATCCATTTCTTTTGCCACCTTATGTGCCTGCTCAGAGATGGGATCTCAAGGTGACTTTGATTCTTTTAGTTGAGGGGTCTCTTAAAGTCATCTAGCCCGCCTCCCTCAATTCCCTATGTGAGGAAGCAAAACCCCAGGGAAACCAAAGGGCTCCTATCCAGCCCCACTCCACAGGCCCGGGGAGAGTAGGGACTCTACCCACACCTCCCCTTCCTTGTAGGTGACACATGCTCTGCCCTCTGAGGCAGTCAGTGAAGGCAAATGGTCTGTGTTCTTTATTTGGTCACCATTTTGATATAATTTCTTTATAATTTGATAGAGATCATATTATTTTTATTTTATTTTGAATGGAAAGAATTTTAAAACCCTTTTATGTGAATTACCATCTTGTTTCTTTCATCTTTGAAACTATGGTTTGTAGCAGAGAAGACATTGTAACAACCCAGAATTATGTTTTTGGAATGTAGTCCTCATTGTGCAGGAGAACGTGGGGATCTTTTCTTAAAACTCCCAGTGTGCATATACTTTATGGTTCCTTGGTCCAGTTGCTAAAGTTGTTAATATTTTAGCCTAAAATTTTTATCATCAACTTTTCTTTAAAAGTGGTCCTTCTGTCACTTAGTTACTGATTTTCCTGGGTTTGACATATTAAATATTCTATGAGATGACATATATGCTTTTTTTGAAAGCTGATTCTCATGAATTCAAGTAGTTTAGTTCCTTTTATTCACTAAAGTAGCTGGCACAAAACACACCAAAACCTAGAGTGGTAGTTTTATGTAAATGCTCATGAGTTTGTATCAATAATATAATTGTTGATCTACTTATAATTCATGCAATACTGCATGTATGTAGAGACTGAGTTGTCAATTTTAAAAAATGTGGCCTCAAAAATAATAAAATAAAATAAAATAAAAACACAAGTAAAATACCGGCTCATATATCTTTATTACTTGCTTGTAGGAGCCTTTGAAGACACTGGTTTCTGTCACCCATGACATACAGTGCTGAAAGAAATGGTGGTATACTTTGGAATGACAGTTTGAGTCTGCTGAGATCACAGGTAAATGTTACAGCAGTGAACAGACTGCAGTACCACAGAAAGAACAGAGGTACAGCAAGTGATTACTGAGTATTAACAAAGAAGATAAATAATTTCCTTTAACTAAAAAATAAACACAAAATTTCAAACAAGACATATTCTGAGAATATGTTTGAGAGACTCTCAGAATCTCTAACCCAGATAATTGTTCAAAGTGTGCCAGGAGAAAGCCACATTATAAAGACTGGGACAGGTAACATTTTTTGCAGGTAAACGTGCAAATTTTAATAAAAGATTAGAATATATATAAAACAGAGCAATGTGGTTCCAACAAAAATATAAAATTTTCAGAAAGAAATAAAAAATGATGTGTACCTTCATTTTTAAAATTGAAAATAAATTGAATAATACTCAATGAGTAAAATATGAACACAGAGAACTATAGAAAATCAGAAAACCGGAAATAAGAACAGAAATATTTAAAATATCAAAAAAAATAATAGAGGTAAAAAATATAAAAAATAACTGAAAAATCTTTTTAAAATGACATAAAAATGAAGAAACTCGACAAACAAACTAGGATACAAAGATACTTATATCAAACTCATATGTAAGCACAATTTTAAAAGTCACAGAAAAGAGAATCTTGGGAGCTGCAAGATGAAAGTGATGTATTGGCTGCGCGTGGTAGCTCACACCTGTAATCCCAGCAATTTGGGAAGCTGAGATGGGTGAATCACCTGAGGTCAGGAGTTCGAGACCAACCTGACCAACATGGAGAAATCCCGTCTCTACTTAAAATACAAACTTAGCCGGGTGTGGTGGCATATGCCTGTAATCCCAGCTTCTCGGGAGGCTGAGGTAGGAGAACTGCTTGAACCCAGGACGCAGTGAGGTGAAATCACATTGTTTCACTCCAGCCTGGAGAACAAGAGTGATACTTCATCTCAAAAAAAAAAAAGTGATATTATTTGCACGAATACTCTTATGAGATAGCCAGTGGATTCTCAACAAAAATTTTTCAGGACAGAAGGAAACTGTGTGGTATAGTCAAATTTCTGAAGAAAACAGTTATCAAGTGTAACACCATCACCAAATTTGTCCTGCTAAATAAAAAGAAAAAAAACTTCAAAAATAACCAAACTTTAAAAAGTATATGGACACTTCCTTACATATAAAAGGTGCTGAAAGCAGTTGCTTCCAATGAAAATAAGATGATTCAACAAGGCAACACGAAATCATATTAAAACACATTATTTTTTGGGAAAGACATGCACATACACAAAAAAAAATTTCTTAGCATTATCACAATGGCACAGAAGAAATTTTTAATCTCCAAAATTTGAAAGATAAAAGCATAGAAATCATTATAAATATCTGTTAATATACAAAATAAAAAATGTAATTAGCAATATCAATGACAAATCTGAGAACATATGTAATGAGAAAAAATTTTTGCATGCAACTAAAGTTCATTTTTAACCAGACTGAAATATATTGTATCTTTTAGAAGTTTTATGTAATCTCCCATGAACCACAAAGAATACGCCTGTATAGATACAGAAAACAAAATAAGAAAGAAGTAAAAGCATATCAAAGTACAAATAAAACAGCCACAAGAGAAACAGAAAGAGAGAAAATGTAGGACAAAGATGCAAGAATCAAACAGAACAACAACAAAAAAATTAGTAAGTCTCTTTGCTTCAGAAAACTTTCCAATTAAGAGACATACTTTCAATAAAGACATGTATTTAAAATTATTAAAAACCAAGATCCAATTTGCCTTTCTACAAGGGTCAGCTGACATCTAATGATAAAAAATATTGAAGGTGGCAAAATAGATTTAGACATTGCATGCAAATACTAACCAAATGAGAGCAGAAGAAGTAAAAATAGTATTACAAAATCTACATCTTAAGTCAAAAACTGTCATATCTTACATAAAGTATTTTAAGTCAAAATTGCAAAGAGACAAAGAAGGACATTAAACAATAATAGATTAACTGGGAACCTATGACAAATTTGTGTGTGCATGTGTGTGTGTGTGTCTGTGTCTATGTCACACTAAGCTTCCAAATATATAAAGCAAATATTGACAGACTGGAAGAAACACCTAGACAGCAATATAATTATAGTAAGAAATTTCAATAACCCACTTTCTGTAATAAAAATAAAACAAGACAGAATATTAGTAAGTGAAGAGAGGAACTGAAGGCAGTATAATACAATCTTTTTTTTTTTTGAGTTTTGCTCTTGTTGCCCAGGCTTGAGAGTGCAATGGCACAATCTCGGCTCACCACAACCTCCGCCTCCTGGGTTCAAGCGATTCTGCTGCCTCAGCCTCCTGAGTAGCTGGGACTACAGGCATGCACCACCATGCCTGGCTAATTTTGTATTTTTAATAGAGACGGGGTTTCTCCACGTTGGTCAAGCTAGTCTCGAACTCCTGAACTCAGATGATCCGCTTGCCTTGGCCTCCCAAAGTGTTGGGATTACAGGCGTGAGCCACGGCGCCCGGCCAGTACAATTATTTTTAACAGAGAAATACAGAAGAGTCCTCAAGAATATGAGGAAACATATCCTTCTCAATAGCTTATGCAATATTCTCTTTGATAGACCACCTGTTAGGCCAAAAACGGCATCTTAAAAATTTGTTAAATTTGACATTTTATGAATTACATTCTATGATCAAAATGGAATGAAAGTATAAAATAGAAAAAAAGGCTGGGTGTACTGGCTTACACCTGTAATCCCAACACTTTGGGAGGCTGAGGCAGCTCTACTAAAAATACAAAATTAGCCAGGCATGGTGGCACATGCCTGTAGTCTCAGCTACTTGGGAGGCTGAGGCAGGAGAATCGCTGGAGGCAGAGGTTATGGTGAGCCACGATTGTGCCATTGCACTCCAGTCTGGGCAACAAGAGTGAAACTCTGTCTCAAAACAAAAAACAAAACAAAACAAAAAAACTACAATAAATTTGAATAGCCAAAGCAATCTTGAGGAAAAACAACAAAGCAGAGGGACATCATATTTATAATTTCAGACTATATTTCAAGAATATACTAATTAAAAAGGATGGAATGTGCAGAAAATTAACATAAAAACCAATAGAACAGTGACGACTATTCTCACACATTTTAGACATGATGCAAGAGAGAACTAAAAAAATAGTTTAACATAAAGTTTCTCAAAATCATGCAGGTATTTGTGTGTCCCCCAAAACAATGGAAAAGCAGTCAGATTATGTAGTCTCTTATATGCCATAGAGGACTCTGGCTCTCACTGTAAACTTGAAGGAAAATCAATGAAGTGAAAGTAGACTCCTTAGAGAATTTAAAAGCCTAAGACAGAAGATGGCCCTATGTGAGAGCAACAACAACAACAAAAAAACCGAAACACACACCTCAGGCTTCCCAGAATCTATTTGCTTTGGAACACAGCTTCCCAAATCACATTATAGGGACTTGCCTTTTTTTTTTTTTTGTAATCTTCCCACCTTTCATCTATGTCAACTGTTTTATTCACTCTCACCTACCTGGGGGTGTGGCTACCATACTGTGTCTCTTCATATTCCAGGGATCTTTTCCTTGCTCCAGACAGGTGATCAGATCTGGCTTAGAGACATCAATACCTGCTTTATTAAAAATAAGTAACATGAATCTTGCTCATATTCTCTAATTACCTACCTATTACTGTGCTTAGTAAAGAGGATGTAATAGAGTATTCTAGAAAATTCATCCCAAAATTCTATTTAATGACAGAAAGTTCTTAACATTTAGAAAATATTTTAAATTTGTAGGCCCTTAATTTCACTACTCAGTACTTATGAATCAAAAATTAGTGGTGGCAAATAGATTTTAACATACGGGCAACAATATTTTATACTACTAAATTTCCGAAACTACCACTACTCTAGAGTGAAGGGTACAGACCAGCTCAGGAATGCAAAAAGTTCAGGCTAAGATAAAACATCTTGAGGAAATTTTTTTTTCTACGCAGATAATTCCTCGAGATTTTTTGAAAACAGGAATCAGAAACTCATTTATGCAAAGCATAAATTACCAAAAATTATTCTACAAAAATGGAGAAATGAAACCTTTAGTGTATATAACGAATGGTGCATTAAAGTTATTCTCACCCAAGAACACCAGGTTTCTGAAGTTCTCTAACATCACTTTCCTATACAAATCTTGCTGAGCAGTGTCCAGACATTGCCACTCCTCCTGAGAGAATTCTATGACCACATCCCTAAATGTCAACGGCCCCTGAAAAACACACATACACACATATTTACAAGTGTCCACGGGTAGAATTTATCATTTGAATTAAGGTTAAATGAGAGAGTAAAGAAAGTTGGTTCTGACTTACAGGAATGACTGAAATCATCCAACATTCTCAACATAGAAATATTCTCTAATGTATTCTCTAACTCTGAGAAGAGAATGGTTTAAGATCCACAATACCAGTGTATATATGATAATTTTATGAACAATAAGGTATAAAACTAAAGGCATAAACACAAACATGTACATTTTTTAGTGTTATATTTGCATCACAAAGAATGAGTAGTGCATATTTTTTAGGCAAAAATGACATGTTGAGTTAGACGGCGCCTCTCAAGTTTCAATGTGAACAATAAACTGGAGATCTTGTGCAGATTTTTATTTTCAGAAGATGTGAAATAAAGTCGGAGATTCTGAATGTCTAACAAGCTCACTAGTAATGCCAATGTGTTTGGCCCAAAAAGAATATTTTGTCAAACATCCAGTAAGTGGAAGAGTCTGAGTTTTACCAATTTTTCTGGCCTGTAAACAAAGATAAGAGTCTTCATTTTCCAAAGATAGACATATGCAAACAAAACCTAAGAAAGAAAGGCAGCTACCAGATTAAATGTGATGGTTTATGCACAGCTCTTCTTTAGCTACATAAAGATACTTAATAATGAAGAGAAAAATAATTAACTCTATACTGAAATAAATATTTCAGAGAGCTCTTGAAGTAAATTTTAAAATCAACTGCACGAGGACAAATGTTTATGATGTGCTGACGCACACCAAATAACACAGCATCACTGCTGAGATACTGCCCCCCAGAAAGTATAGTCTGAATTTAATCATACAGAAAAAATCAGTTTTATGCAGTTTAAGATGCAGATATCTCCTACGTTCTGAAATTTTTAATAACAATTTAAAGTAGTCTTTCTTGAGCACCCCAGAAAGCATTGCCCAATAATTTTTTTTTCATAACTTTCAGGGTAATAAATGCCATCCTGTTTAAATGAGGATTTTCTTAATCCTGTTCTGAATAGAGCTAATGAACACATATGAAACCTCAACATTACATGTTCTCCGTCTTTACTAAGAACATTCCCCCAACAGGAATCTTGAGTATCCACATCTTCCCACGTTCAACAGCAACAAGGGAAACATTTTTAATACTGCAGATTATAAATTCATGGTAAGAATTCTGCATGGCATATAAGAAGTCATGATTTAGAGAGTGTAGAGAAGGCTCTGGGATATAGGAGAGAAATATTTTGCAAAGACCCTTGACTATCACAAGAATTTTTTAAAGTAGTTAAACTCATTAGGGGAAAGAAACACAAGCAGAGAAGTAAAGGTTTGCAAGGACTAAATGCATCGCACTCCAGGAGGCAGAGTGGACACAGCTCTTCATCTGAGACATGTTTAGCTGAGGGAAAAAAAAAGCCATTTTTCCTCTTTCATCTTCTTTGGAAATGCTTTTCAGATGACATTCTCTGGAGAAGTTATGCCTGCGTCTTGAAAAAATTCCTTTAAAGGTGTCAGCACCACCTGTTTACCTGCAAGCCTCACACCCACAGAAAAAATAAATAAGACCTGTAGAAAAAGCCCACCCATTTCTGTCCTTTATAGCAGCAGAGATTCAGGAACAATGAACTGCTTGATGAATATAAAAATATGTTTCTCTATTTCTGTCTTCAGGTGCCTGCCTTTGCCACAAACACCAGCAATTTCTGCTACAGTAATGGAAATATGGGTGACATTGACCTCTCCCTATCAAAACCAAACAGAACAGTACCTGTGACTACCTTTTAGTGCAAACTCTCATGAATGTATCTTGAACCCCACACACTTGATTCTGGTCTCGCCTTAGAGTCACATGAGAAACAATTAAAACAACACAAATACTTTCACCTAGAACAATACACAGAATCTGTGGAAAGGGTACAAGTAAAGAGATTGCTGCAAATTGGCCATGTAATGCTAATGAGAAGTCTAGGCTGATAACCACTTAGCTAAGCATTGCCTCTCAAGCTTTAATGAACTCAAAAACCACTTGGTAGTGTCGGTCCCACTTTATGTAATGTTATTCTGTAGGTTTGGAAAGGGTCCATGGATGGGTGTTTCAAACAAGTCCCCTGTCAGTGCTGATGTTGCTCCCCCTGGGCTCATTATTAGCATTAGAGAAAGCAGGCACAGCACAGGGTCACTTACACTCCACACTCTTGTCACAATACAATATTTCTGATACACAAAGAAAGACAAAAAATGTAAAGTTTCATATTCTTTGCTGGCTCTCTAAAGTTTACAGAGGACAGAGAAGGTAACAATGTCTGAATAAGTCTGCATTTAAAAAACAACAAGTACACATGAACTAATGCAATGTTTATTAAGCAGGTACTATGTGCTCAATAGTACGTTAGAGAGCACTGTGCTGGGAATAACACATTATGTGTTATTATTTGTTATTATGTCCTAATAACACCTTGAAAGTTCATAGTAAGTATTCAATAATTCTCAGGATTTAGATAAAGGACCCAGAATTATTATTTTCTTCTCTGTTTCTCTGTCATTGATTTTCTTAAAAACATGTGCACTAAAAGCTATATACAGACAGATGAAGATATATAGATAACTAAAAGCTAAATATAGACAGATGAAGATATATAAAGAAACACAGACATAGAAAGAGCTTAATATAGTTTAGAGAAATTTTTTTGTGTTTATATTTACTTGTTTATGACTTGTAGAGCACCTACTGGATCTGCAGGAATAGAAAAGTTGCTAAATGGAATGTTTCTGTAAGTACTGGTTTTACTACAAAATTAAAAAATTAAGATCTTAAAATGTATAGTTTATTTTTCTTATGTATCTGTTTTTGGGTTTCAGGATATTGTGAGCACCAGCTCTAGAAAGTCAGTAGGATTTACCCCCCAAAACTTGAATCTTTATAAATCCATTTTGTAAGGAAAGACTCCAGAGTGGGGCCAGGCCTAAATAAGGCCTCCAAAAATGGTGAATCTGATCAGAACTGGGGCAGGGAAAAGAAACTAGGTAGAACTTGTTTTCTACATCACTGGGGTATTTCCAGTTTTGTTTTTCCTAACCTACCTAAGAAAAACTTAAATCCTGGCCTGGCACGGTGGCTCATACCTGTAATCCCAGCATTTTGGGAGGTCGAGGTGGGTGGATCGCCTGAGGTCGGGAGTTCAAGACCAGCCTGACCAACATGGAGAAACTCCGTCTCTACTAAAAATACAAAATTAGCCGGGGTGGTGGTGTACTCCTGTAATCCCAGCTACTCGGGAGGCTGAGGCAGGAGAATCGCTTGAACCCGGGAGGTGGAGGTTGAGGTGAGCCGAGATCGTGCCACTGCACTCCAGCCTGGGCAACAAGAGCGAAACTCCGTCTAAAAAAGAAAAAAAGAAAAAAGAAAAAAAAAAAACCTTAAATCCCAGAGTTATGTAACACAATCTATTTTTGTCACTGCTGTCAATTTTATAACATATACTAATAAGCAATTTAAATGTTTAAATTTTAAAGTTTTCTAGGATAATTTTATTAGAAGATAAATATGTATTCTTAGAAAAGTAAAAGAAACACAAATAATAGTAACAACTCTTCAGTGCATAAATATACCTTCAGGTGATAACTTCAGAAGTCACAACAATATTAAAAAGAAGCAGCCCAAGTTGTTTTTGCACACATCTATTCATTGTACCAACCATCTAATGCTTAATTCAAACTTGTATCCAGTTGCTGGTCTAGACTAAAATTTCCTGGATGGCAGGGACCTTGACCGCTTCATCTATTTTTTTGAATGATCGTATGAAACGGAAGCAATTAGTTTGTTTGGGTCACCAGACCTCCTCTTTTTCTTTCACCCCAGTACCAGAAAACTTGAGAAACTCTCATCTGGGTAACAACCGATGTTATCTCTTGGTTGTTATGAGGGAGAAAAAAACACAGGATGTCTCCTTTCTCTTACAACAAGACAGAAACAGAATTAATCATTCTTGTTAACCTGATATAATTCTACCCTTGACATCCTCAAATGTCTTAAGGACACCCAGATGATTAGGAGAGGGTTCCCAGTGACCAGGGCTGATGGCCCAGTGATAAGCCAGGCTGGAGAAACTCGGGTTGATTCTAAATAGACAATGGAACTGCCTTGGTGGAGCTCCAGAACCTGGATCCCCTATCCTGATTTGCTAGCTTTTGGGTAAGAAGATGGACAAGAATACTAAGCCTCTGGATCCTTTGTGGCCTTGATCTCTCACTCTTAAGATGCTTGTTTACACTTACAGATTCTGTCATTAGATTCTACTTACACCTAGAGCCTCTCCCAGACTGTAGCAGGTCACTGAACAAGACTGAAAAGCTTAAAGAGCCACACTCTCAAATGGGGGATTTAAGATTTCTACACTGACATCTCATAATACAGAAAATGCCTTCTGTTGGTTTTCAGTACATTCTCAATCCAAAGTCTGGCCCTGTCTTGTAAATCCCAGGCAGAGGCCAGAACTTATGTGCAGATTCTAGGTGGGATCAACCTGACTCTGCATCCTTGGGTGTTACAGCAAGCAGAGTACAATTAAAGGAGAGATCCCTTCATACAGGCTGCTCTAGCACATTCTAAGTAATATGTCTACCTAAAAGAAAAAAACTGAGGCAACATGAATATCAGTAGAGAATTCATCTGGGCCAAGCTTGCAGATTGTAACCTTGGAGCAAAGATACATCCTCCAAAGACTGAACAAATAAGAAATTGGATCCCTGAATAGACCAGTAACAAGCTCCAAAACTGAGTTAGTAATAAATAGCCTACCCACCAAAAACATCAAAGAATCAGAAAAATTTACAGCTGAATTCCACCAGATGTAAAAATAAGAGTTGGTACCACTTCTAATATTATTTCAAAAGATTGAGAAAAGGGGACTTCTTTCCAACTTATTCTATAAAAATAACATTATTCTGATACCAAACTCTGGCAAATATAAAAC